TTTTTTTTTTGGAACTGGGGATTGAACTCAGGCCCTTACACTTGCCAGGCAAGTGCTTATTCTACTGAGCTGTCTCCCTGGCCCCAGCCTTAAAGCCTCTCCCTTCCCTGCTTTCCGCTGCCCACAAGCCTCGGCTGTGGTCTGCACCGAGGGAGGAGGGGCTGTCTCTGAGCCCTGTAGGTGCTTCTCTTAGTCTCTCCAGTCCACTTCTATTTTTTCTCCTCTCTGGTTTCTGGGGACGGAGCTCCTTCCCTCTTGCTTCACTTGTACCACACGGGAGACCAAAGTCTGCACCCAGCTAAGGTCTGCTGACCCTGACTCAAGTCTGCACATAATTCAGTGATTCCCCCTCTAAAAGTAGGGGGCCATGCAGTACCGAGGAGTAAACCCAGGGCCTTCACACTGAGCTGCATCTTCTGCCCGTTTCTGAGACAGGATCTCACTAAAGTGCAGCTGCCTGTGCCCTTGGGTCCTTGTGGGCTGGTCCCGTTCTCAGGTGGCATAGTGATTAAGAGACACACCACAGACCAGCACACTCCCCTCCCTCCCACCAAGCACCAGGAATCCCCAGGGCCCGCGGGGCTCACCCGGAACTGTCCCCCGTCGCCGTCATCCAGCTCCAGGACATAGCCATCGGCAGGGCTGGGGGTGAAGGGTGGTGTCCTCCAGGCCAGTGTGACACTGTTATTACGGGTGCAGCACTTCTCCAGCTGTAGCAGTGGGGCGGGTGGCACTGGGACAGGGACCGTGGGGTCAGCTCACGGTGTTCTGCTCCCACAAGCCCCTGAGAACAACATGGCTGAGCCCTCTCTGGCCACTGGCAGCCACTGCCAGTGGACAGGGAAGCACAGGGAGACCTAGAGAAAGTCCTGCATCTGAGGGCTGTGGCTGTGGCGTGGCACTCAGGACCCGTGTCCCAAGGAAGGTGCTCCTCTTTCCCACCTGCCTACTGAGAGGCCAGAGCACACAGCCAAGTCCACACTGCCTGCTGCCCTCTCTTGGAGGGCCTGGGACAAAGGGAGGCAACCTGAGGCATATGCTTGAGACAGGGAACAGGGATCATAACTGTCCCCAAAGGCCCATATGTTAGGATTTATCTCCAGCGTGGCATTATTGGGAGTACTGGCAACTTTAAAGGATAGCGGCTACTGAGAGGTTGCCAGATATTGTTGGCATGCCCTCAAAGGGCATTATGAGAGCCTGGCCCCTTCCTCTCTTTTGCTTCCTGGCCACGAGAAGAGTGGTTTGCTCTACTGTGCTCTGGCCATGACGTGCTGCCCCACTACCAATCAATGGGCCAACCCACCATGGACTGCAACCTCCGGAACTGTATAATAAACCTTTTTCTTCAAAGATTGTCTCAGGGATTTGTGACAGTGATGTAGAACTGACAGACACAAAATGCATCAATGCATTTAAACCTTTGGGAGAAGCTTTTGGAAGTCGGAAACTAGATCTAGACAAGGGAAGCAGCGCGGACAACCCCCAAGCACAGGGCCTGAGTCAGGTGTACCTTGAGCTGTCCTAGGCTGACAGTGGGAGATGGCATGTTCTAGCTCTATTCATCAGGCTTAAGGGAATTCTGAAACTGAAATAGTCCACTCTGATCTTTTTTAAAAGGAAAAGTGGCAGGATTGGTTCTCGATAAACTGCCTTACTTCCATTTAGTTCCAAGAATGGAGTCGCTGCCTTACAGGTGTTGGCTAACAGCCCAGCTGGGTGGAATCCGACTACTGGCATGTTCTCAGCACAGACACCTGTCCTCGGGTCACTTCCCATCCCCTCCTGCTCTCCTCTCTGAACCCCTCTCACGAGGCAGGAGCAGTACCTGAGCTCCTGAGCCTCCTTCCATGGCACCACCGCTTTCTGGGGCAACTGTCCCTCCATGTCGCTCCTGCACCCCACAGGGCACTCCGGTTCCCTAACACTGCATCTCATTTGCACCCTGTAGAATCGCACAGGGTGTGCAACGTGGGCGTGAGGTGGGGTGAGCAAGAGCCGCACTCTTCTGTGAGGTTAAAAGTGGCCGCCCTACATTCGGCAGTCGGGACTCTGGGTCCACAGCTCTGCGAGTGTGGCCTCCGGTCCTCGGCAGACGGACGAGCGGGGCACTCCTTACTGAGCAACCTTGGCGGCTCTGAGGGGCAGCGCGGAGCACAGGACAAGCTCCGGCCTTCCCTTGCTAACTTTGGAGCAGACCAGATTGTGGAATCTTTGCTTAGTCCTTCCTTGAGTCCCCTGGGCCCTCTGCACGCCGCTCTTGCCCCCCTCCACCTGCTCATTCTGCTCTTCTAGGGAAGCAGAAGCCTTGTTCCTTTTTTTTTTTTTTTTTTTTTGGTGGCACTGGGGATTGAACTCAGGCCTTTGTGCTTGCCAGGCAAGCGCTTATTCTACTGAGCCATCTCCTTTTGCTCCTGCTGCCACTGCCTGTCCCCCTGCCGCTTCTGGTACTCTTCTCGTAGGTTGTTTCTATCTGCTTCCCTTACTCCCCCTTCCTTCTTTTCCTACCCCTGCCCCCTCGTTACCTCAAAATACACCCCCAACGCCTACTGGGACCCCTTGCTCTGCTCTTCATTTAAAGCACCGACCACTACGTGGCGCAATATTCTGATTTGTTTGTACATGACCTATGGCCTTATCTGGACCAGAAGCTCAGCCCTTGAGGAGTTGCAGACTTGTCCTTTCCTGCCACCAGCCGACCAGGCATGGTCAGCCTAGCCTGGATGGATGCCGTACGTTTTTTTGGTTTTTTTTTTTTTTTCCTGTTTTATGATACTAGGGTTAAACTCAGGACCTTTGAACTGAGCTTCCCCCATTCATCTCCTCCCCCCGTTTTATTTTCAGACAGAGCCTCTCTAAATTGCCATGTTGAGCTCAGGCTGGGCTCAAACTTGGTAATTTCCTGTCTTAGCTTCCTAGAGTGTTGGGATTTATGGATTCATGCCATGGGACCCAGCTTGTATTTCTGCATGACAAGCAGTTCTCAGTTTATAAGTAGGAAGCTCAGCTCTGGCTGTGAGCTATGACCCCAGCCCCCACATCCAGGCCTGCAACTTGGCATCCCCACCCCACTTTGCTGGCCTGGGCATCGAAGGTTCCCGCCCGCCCCAAGCTGCCCCTCAGGCTGGGTGCCTCCAGGAAGAAGCACCCACTGAACTGGGGCCAACCACGGCTCACCCCTACATTTCATCTGAAGGAAGTCCAGCTGGTGGATGGCCTGCAGCAGCGGCTCACTGTCCAATGTCAGGTCAAACTCTGCAGATACTTTTGGCTCCAGGGCACCTTTGACCCACTGCTCCTGAGACACCTGCACACGCTTGATCAGCGCGTCGGAGATCTTGGGGAGGGGAAGCACAAGGTTGAGGGTCCAAACTGAAGGAAGAATTGTGCACAGCTGTGGAGGAAGGGCTGGAACTCTGTGTCTGTGGCTCAGGGACAAGAGGAGCTATGCCTTGTAGCCACAGCACGGATGAAGGGACCTCAGCCAGAAGAGGACTGGCCAGAACTAGCTGCATAAAGAGGCAGTGCATTGTCTCAATCATAGCTCAGAAGCCTGGTCATGGAAAATGTAAAGACGCTCTATTTAAAGATATTCAGCCAAACTCTTTTGTGAAGTAAATGTTTTTTTTAAAATATGCAAAAGCATCCTTCATTATATGTTTTGCCAAATCTAGCAGTTTGCAAAGTGAAACACACTCATCATTTGTCCCAGGGTGTGAAGGAAGCGTCTCCCACTTCCCCCTCATGTCTCTTCCGAGTTACTCTATGGCTTCTGCTGCAAGCTCCAGCTGCATCCCACCCACGGCCCTGCTCTCTTTGCTGGAAAGTCCTGGTGACCATACCACGAGCTTATACACCCTTCCTGGGGAACAATCAAGGGGTTCATCATCCCCACAAGCAGAGACTAAATCCCTGCCCTATTCCTGAGCTCCTCCTGTGCCTGAGTCACATGAGGCTGGAGCAACGATCCCTGGAAGACTGCACGGTCTCTGTGGGGGCCGCTCACCCCCAGGCCTGCAGGACTCTGCCCTCTGAGGTATGAGCTGTGTGGGCTCTGCTACCTCACTTCTCCTTGGGCAATCTGCGCAGCCCATTTGGCTAAGACATCCTTTCCCATTTGGGAGGAGAATGCTCAAGCATGGTAGTTGGTCCCCAGGATGATGCCTTTTCACCTTTTTGCTTACTGGATGATGCAAAATGAGGACTGCAGCCTGTAAGCTTCTGGAGTCACTTAGCAAAGGAGAATAACGCAGCTCCAAGCCAGGAGAGGATTTTGCCTCACATTTAGGCCAGTTTGGGGAGTCGTGCTGGAGGAGCAGGAGGAAGCCCAGTGGAGGCTCCCAGCAGCACCTCACCTGGAGGAAGCCCGAGGGGTCGTTTTCCTTGATCACCTCCAGACAGTACTCCATGAGCCCTGTGGACTGGCGCAGCTTCAGCGTGCAGTGGTTGATCTGGTCCCAGACCATCTGCAATGTGGAGACTCCCCTGGGTGACCGTGGCTCAGGGTAAGAGCAGCCAGCCCTGAGAGTCAGCGACTGCCCCAACAGGGTCAGGCAGTGCTGGTCTGGACTACCTCCGCCCTCAGCCCTGCTCTACTCGCAAACCCTTAGTATCTTCTTCTGTGGGGAGTAAACAGACCCATTGTCCGGCACTGCAAATTTCTGGGCAGGGTTGCAGAGAAAGGGCCTCATCTGAGCTCCCGTGGGGGGAGGCTCCTCCCCTTCCTCTGCCATCTGGAGCTCACAGGTGGTCCCTCTGGCTTGGTGGTTTCACCTGTACACATATTTGGTTGGGAAAAGTCTCTGCCACAATGGGACAGTGACCTGGAACAGTGAGAACCCCTTCCCAGGTCAGAGAGCTATGAACATCCACACAAGCCGGGACCTGTAGAAGGGGAAGGGGAAACCTTGCTGTCCCCTGGTGGAAATGGGCCCCCTGTATTATTATGTGAAGACTGGACAGAGCTGGGGGCCTGAGCAGAGCTGGGCCATGTCACTGCTCTGCAGGATGAGACTGAGAGCGTCCTGATAGACACAAGGGCCGTGCAAGGTGGGAGAGTGGCTTCTGACTTGACTCCTGCAGGATGTGGGACCAGCCAGTTTGGCCCTCCTCCCTGCACTTGCCCAGCACTGAGAAGAGAACCCCCAGTTGCCCACCTTCAGCTTGTGCTCCCGCTCCTTGGTCACCTTGGTGAGCAGCTTGGCCTTCTGCCGAGTCAGTGCCTCCACCAGGGCATCACACTGAGCCACCAGGCAGGCCTCGTAGTCCAGGCCGTTTTCCTTGGGGGAAGCAGAGAGTGTTAAGAAGACACTGAGCTCCTGAGTGCTAAAGACAGAAGAGTGGTTTGGTTCTTTGTACTAAAGAAATAAAGCAAAAGTTTGTAACAAAATAAGAGAATAGTAACAGTTACTGCCCTGCATGTTATTATCAAAGAGTGTTCAGGAGTGCTTAGCTCAGAGACAGACACTGGTGTGTGGGAACTGGGAATAGGAACTGGGAGGGCGCTGTGAGCCCAGCAAGGCAGACTCTTCGCTGTCACGCATGCCTATTCACAGAGCATTGTTAGGATGCGCTCACGACAGAGCGCTAGGAAGGAAAAGGGGCGGCGGTGTGGCTCCCTTGGAGAACGCTGGCCTCGCATGCGTATGGCCCTGGGATCCATTCCCGATACTGCAAAAAGGAAAAGGAGCTGGGTGTGCATGGCAGTGCACGCGTGCAATCCCAGCACTCAGGAGGCTGAGGCAAGAAGATTGTTCTGAGTTCAAGGCCAGCCTAGAACACATAGTGAGGCCTGTCTCAAAAAAAAAGAAGAAGAAGAAGAAGAAGAAGAAGAAGAAGAAGAAGAAGAAGAAGAAGAAGAAGAAGAAGAAGAAGAAGAAGAAGAAGAA